AGTCTGCAAGAGCCTGACATTGCACCCGCGATCTGCTGCTTGTGGGTTCAATGCTTTACAGGCTTTGAAAAAGCTGCATTTTTTTCTGTTAAGGTGAACTTATTCTTTTAAATAAAAATAAGATTTCACAGCTTTGGACTTTGAAGTGTATGTTGTTGTCCTCTAAACCAGCCTTTTTCGACAAGGGTGCTTAGGCTTGTTCAGGGGTGCCTTGGTAAAATGTCTAAAAATTGCCCAAAACTTATATACAAGCCAGCGGGTGGAACAAGCCTGCCTTTTCGTTACACAGAGACCCACAGGTTTTCATTGTGCACCATTACGATCTTCTAGCCATCATCATGCTGACATCTTTAGGTGATAAGTAGGATGTTGGTTGCCTGCACAGCATCCTTGTTTTTTACATTTTATAATAGGGTGCCTCAAGACTTTCCATATTTTTAAAGTGTGCCTCGGGACTGTCCTTGATTTTAGAGGGTTCCTTGAAATTGTCCATAATTTTTAAAGGGTGCCTTGACTGAAAAATGTTTGAGAAACACTGCAACAAATGAAAAAGTATAATCCATGTGTTTTTTTTTTTCGCTGTTATGCATCATTCAGATATTATTAGAGAAAGTGTTGATACTTCTTCTTACTTCCACTAATTAAACAAATCAGTAGTGACGCTGAGGTCAGGAGGAGGAACCAGTGAAAACTTCAGGGGACTCATAAGATTGACACTTTTAGAAGTTGGCAGTTTTCTGGTGGTACAGGCAGCGTAAGCTACCACTAGATCAGTGTTTCTCAACTCCAGTCCTCATGGACCCCCAACAGGTCATGTTTTCAGGATTTCCCTCAGATGAAACAGCTGTGGTAATTACTAAGGCAGTGAAACTGATCAAATCACCTGTGCAAAATAATGGAAATCCTGAAAACATGACCTGTTGGGGGTCCATGAGGACTGGAGTTGAGAAACACTGCACTAGATGGTGCTTACAATTGTGCAATTATATTAACCAGAATACAGCAAGCTTAATTAGAGTTGTGTGAATGTTTGTCACATTCGTTCAGAAAACTTTTTATACATTTATTATTATAATACAGGATTTATATAGCGCCAACAGCTTGCTACAATATAATGGGAGACAATGTAGCAACAATACAGTTCAATTCAAGAGGGATAGGAGGGCCCTGCTCCTTGGAGCTTACAATCTAGGACATAGAACAATACATGTTTGTTATGTGTTCCAATTTGCAAAGCATACCTAAAATATATTTATAAGTTCTTTCTAACCTTCCGAGTTATTTCTTTGGAGCAGAATTATACAGAGGACTGACATAGTCAGTCAGTTATTTTTTCAGAATATCTTACAAGGGACACTCTAGGGACAGGTTGGATTAAGAGCGCAGCCTTGATAATCTCTAACCCTTTGTTAGGACAGACAGTGTGCTCTAGTTTACCATGGACAATGAGGTCTGCCAGCACAGTTACAGATGGGGTTAAAGGCTAAGTTCACTTAAAAAAAAAAAAAAGGGAATTTTTTTTTTTTTTTTTTACAGAAAAAATGTATTATGTATTTTTCTCAAAAGCCTGCAAAGCATTGCATCCCCAGTCAGTGGAATTTAAGTCCAATGTCAGGCATCTGCCAGTTTTGTGCTGTGTTTACCACACTCGTATTCCATTGATAAATGCAAGTCTGTCTGCCACGGTAGCATTTATTCACTCAAAGACCTCCAAGCCCCACACAGCTGTGCCAGTTATAAAAGTCGCAGTGGCTGCGAGAGAGGAACCCTGGGGGGCACTCAGAGGTTGGGGGGGGGAGGGGGGTACTAATATGTTGCTAAAAGTGGAGTTAGCCTTTAATTATAGTAAATGTAATTTCCCAATCACCTCCTTAAAATTGCATAGAGAGGGAAAGCTAAGCAGGCTTTTTAAACAAATAAAATGGTAAGCAGCAAATTTACTATTTTTTTTTTGTAAGTTATGCTATGTAAATAGGCAAATCTAACAAATGTAGAGTTACACCAATTTGGTTGCAAAGGTGGAAATTACACTTGAATGTCAAAAGCTAGAAGCTCAGAAGTGGGGCCAGAACTTGCGTCCAACAATTTCTGCAATGTCTGTGCACAATTTAAAACATAACAAGTTATTATAGTAGTGTAACATTGCAGTCCTTTTAAGGTTTCTCTGTTTTTTTTATCCTTTACACAGAGGATGAAAGCCTCGGTAGGCAGTAAACAGAGGAGTAGACTGTCTATCATGTCTCAGTATCTTTGTGATGTAAAGCACTGTTTTTCAATTCCTGGCCGTGCCTTTGTTCCAAAACCTGAGGTAAGGATATTTCCGATTTCAATACCTTGGTTATAGTAAATTATATTTATGAATTTGCACCTGTTCTTGGTATAGTAGGATAATTGTTTGTAGTAATCAAATGTGTTGTAAATATGCAAATATCGTATCTTGCACTTAAAGTAGAACTGTAGGTAAAACATTTTTTCATAATTTTGGATAGGTTATATGGGAGGTTTATTTCACCTGCCAGTTGTGTTTTTGCTATCTGTGTCCCATTAAGGGAGATTTGCCTTTATTTCCTGTCCCATAGCTAAAACAAGAAGTGAGAGGAAATCCCTGCCAATCAGGGAATCCCATTGTGATCACTAAGTCACCAGAACTAGTGTCCTCATTGGAAGATTTCTCTTCTATTACTTTTTCTGTGGACAATGCAACATTTGGGAATTTCTTTTAATTTTACTCTAACTTTCAATGATAATGATAGACAGTACTAATAGAGAGGGTGAATCTCCATAGCAGGGGCACAGACAGCAATCAAAGCATTGCTGTAATCCATCTCCACTCCATCCAAAAGAAAAAAAAGTGTTGCCTTTAGTTATATTTAACCTATTTAAGGTCTTGCTCAAAATTCAACTCCAGGAATTATCTTTTTTTTTATACTTACATTGGTCCAGATTGGCTTGATGCCAGTATTCATACGTGATATCTGGTGGGCCCTGAGAATGTTGACAATCACTGAAGTAGTCCTTGCTGCATATAGTGATAGCTGTGATCCTATTGGTGCTGCTCCAGCGGCGTCCCCTCGCCATGATGTTATCTGCTACGCCTCTGAAGCTTGTCCATCAGAAAATGTGTTGCATTCATGGTAAAAAAAAAGCAAAGCGTTCTCTGATTGGTGTCTGTGCCAAGCAGCCACCCTCCTTTGTTCAGCAGAGCAACCACTTGGCACAGGACCCAGAAGCTAGTGGAGATCACTGGAGTAGCAATATCTACTACAGTGATTTCCAGCTACTAGGGGATCTAACTGGTATGGTGTATGCATAGTTACCGTATTTTTCGCTCCATAAGACGCATTTTCCCCCCCCCAAAAAATGGGGGAAAATGTCTGTGTGTCGTATGGAGCAAATATGCAGCGGCTGGCCCGGAATTCCCTTTGCCTCCATGTTAGAATACCGGGCAGGCCGCTTGGCTCCTCTGTGCTCCTCGGTCCAACCTGTTCCTCGGTCCAGCGCTGTCCTCAGTCTTCTCTCCCCGGCACCAGCATCTTTAGTGTGGGAACTCGGTTGTCACAGCTTGTGGCTTCACAGCCGAGTGCCCACTGCGCATGTGTGAGAAGCGCTGTGCTTTGTGAATGGTCCAGCAGTCTCAGTCTTCTGGGACCTGTCACGTGTACCAGAAGACAGGGAGGGAGGACAACTCCGTAGAAGTGGAAGCACGTACCTGTCAAATTCAGTACCTGCTCAACCCCCGCTCCCCAAAGGTCGGCAGTGTTTGGTCATCTCCTGTACTATGTCCACGATCTCTGATCATCTCCTGTACTATATCCTCAGCCACTGGTCATTTCCTGTACTATGTCCGCAGTCTCTGGTCATCTCCTGTACTATGTCCGCAGTCTCTGGTCATCTCCTGTACTATGTCCGCAGTCTCTGGTCATCTCCTGTACTATGTCCGCAGTCTCTGGTCATCTCCTGTAGTATGTCCGCACTCTCTGGTCATCTCCTGTAGTATGTCCGCACTCTCTGGTCATCTCCTGTAGTATGTCCGCACTCTCTGGTCATCTCCTGTACTATGTCCACAGTCTCTGGTCATCTCCTGTACTATGTCCGCAGTCTCTGGTCCTCTCCTGTAGTATGTCCGCAGTCTCTGGTCATCTCCTGTAGTATGTCCGCAGTCTCTGGTCATCTCCTGTAGTATGTCCGCAGTCTCTGGTTATCTTCTGTACTATGTCTGCAGTCTCTGGTCATCTCCTGTAGTATGTCCGCAGTCTCTGGTCATCTCCTGTAGTATGTCCGCACTCTCTGGTCATCTCCTTTGGTATGTCCGCAGTCTCTGGTTATCTCCTGTACTATGTCCGCAGTCTCTTGTCATCTCCTGTAGTATGTCTGCAGTCTCTGGTCATTTTTTGAGAAAAAGGAGAGAAGCGCCTCTAAGTGCATTAAGTCTTTTAATTCAAGTCTAAATGTAGAAACACTCACATGTGTGAAGTAATCATAAGCTTAAAAACCGTGGTTAACAATAGTTAACGGTGGGGTGGTAACCCGGGTGAAGAGCCGTCATCTTACTGCAATGTGGGGAGGTCAGCTCTCGGCTGGAACAGCGTGGTGGCTGGAGGGGAACAGCGGTGAGGCCGGCCAGCATGCACGTCCTCCCTCAGAGCCGGATGGAACGCACGCTGGAACGTAGCGGCGGCGTGGCTGTGATGACGTCAGATCCCAGGGTGCACTGCGATGCGTTTCGGAGCATGCACTGGCCGTGGAAGGCGGAAGTGCACTCCTTTTTCAAGCACCGCTGTTCCCCTCCAGCCACCACGCTGATCCAGCCGAGAGCTGACCTCCCCACATCGCAGTAAGATGACGGCTCTTCACCCGGGTTACCACCCCACCGTTAACTATTTTTAACCACGGTTTTTAAGCTTATGATTACTTCACACATGTGAGTGTTTCTACATTTAGACTTGAATTAAAAGACTTATTGTACTTAGAGGCGCTTCTCTCCTTTTTCTCATCTACAGAATTTGCTACAGCTTATTTGGAAGCCTTGCCCTCAGTGCCACACGGAATCCTACGCTCTTCATACAGTAGCCACTAATACCACGATCACCCCATACTACCATTTCCCAGGACTTTGCAGTGTTTGCGCTGTTACAACCCTTCCTCATTTTTTCTGGTCATTTGTGTACTATGTCTGCAGTCCATTGGTTCAGAATATTTTTTTCTTGTTTTCCTCCTCTAAAACCTAGGTGCGTCTTATGGTCAGGTGCGTCTTATGCAGCGAAAAATATGGTACTTTGTAACTGTTTAAAGAGAACCTTATACCTGGAATTCTTCTATAAGTACTGAATAGTACAATACAGACTTCTATGCAAGTCTAGAACACTGGCTTCTCTTTTCAGTGTGTAGAAATGTGATGCAGGAATTGTCTCATGGCTTCCAGTTGTTTAGCCTAATTTTTAAACTTTCTTCATCTCCCTTCCTTCGATAACACAACCAGCCTGTGAGATTTTAGCACTGACATCATCCAGCAATGACCACTGCATGCTCTCCTCGCTCTTTCTCTCATTTCTGAAGGAAATGCACTTTTAAGTCATACCCTGACAAATACCTGATGAGAAGGAAAATTTTTGGCCCCATAAAATGTTTTTTTGGGGTTTTTTTTTAGGCCTGTCTAAATGGGCTGATAGACGTATATTGAGAGGGAGAATAAAAGTAAAATTGGCTATAGATATGGACATTAGTTTTGCTTTTTGGGGGGGTTTTTCCCCCCTCATTTTTAGGCCGAAAAAACAAAAAAAAGCAATTTCTCTATCAACACCATCGAGGTGGATAGAGGATTCTCTATCATTGACATTGGGGTTGATTTACTATAGGCAAATAGGCTGTGTACTGCAAGTGCACTGAAAGTGCAGTTCCTCTAGATCTGAGGGGAACATGCAAGGAAAATAAAAAAACAGCATTTTTGCTTGCACATGATGGAATGAAAGAAATCAGCAGAGCTTTGCCTCATTTCAGAGCTTCTATTCAGATTTAAAGCAACTGCACATGCAGTGGACAGTATATTTACCTTTAGTAAATAAACCCCATTGCATCTGTCTCTCCATTGTCAGAATATTATTATTATTGTTATACAGGATTTATATAGCGCCAACAATTTGCTCAGCGCTTTATAATATAAAGGGAGACAATACAGCAATGATACAGTTCAATACAAGAGGGTTAGGAGGGTCCTGCTCCTTGGAGCTTACAATCTAAGAGGGAGGGGCTAGTGGTACAAAAGGTAATAACTGGAGAAGGACAAACTGATGGGAGAAATAGAAGATTTGGTTATTAGCTGAAGGTAGGATAGGTTTCCCTGATGAGATTTTCAAAGATCGCCTAAAAGTGAGCAGAGTAGGCAATAGTCGGATAGATTAGGGTAGAGAGTTTCACAGGATAGGAGAGGCTTTGGAGAAATCCTGGAGACTAGCATGGGAGGAGGAGACAAGGGAGCTAGAGAGCAGGAGGTCATCGGAGGAGCGGAGAGAACAGTTTGGGTGATATTTGGAGACAAGATTGGTGATGTAATTGGGGGCAGAGTTATAAATGGCTTTATATGTTATTAATGTTTTGAATGTTATTTGTTGGGCAATGGGAAGCCAGTGGAGGGATTGGCAGAGAGGGATGGCAGACATGGAACAGTTGGTAAGGTGGATGAGTCCGGCAGCAGCATTCTTGATAGACTGATGAGGGGATAGCCTGCAATTAGGTAGGCCGATGATGAGGGAGTCAAGGCGAGAGATAACAAGGGAGTGAATAAGTTGCTTAGTGGTTTCAGTGGTTAAAAACTGGCATATCTTGGAGATGTTATGGAGGTGAAGTCTACAAGATTTGGACAGTGATTGGATTTGGGGCTGGAAGGACAGATGGGAATCCAGGATTACACCTAGTACCCTAGCATGGGGGGAGGGACTAATGGTTGTATTATTGATCTTGATGGAGAATACACTGATCAGTGGCCACAGCCACTGATCGAGAACATTTTTTCAACAAGCTCATTTGGGAATGGCCATGAGTGAATTGAAATTTAACTGGATGCTGTGAAACCAGCCAAATTTTGATCAATCTATGGCAGACATAAGGCACAATCATTGGGCAACACTACCACCAAACAAGTTAAAACTGCTGTCAGCTTTTGCACCAGTCCTGCTGCAGGACAGAAAGTAAATCAAAGTCTTCCTAATAGACATGCAGACAGCAGTAAAAACCTGACCAAGATTGTTTTTAACTTCTTCCCTCTAAACTAGTAAAACGTCTTATCTGAAGTAGGGCTTTATCTTCATTTCCCATAGCAAAGCAACAAAATATATAACTTGACATCAGATCCCTGAATGTAAGTACTTGTAGATAGATATTTTTTTAAAAACTGGAAAAATACCATGTTGATAATCTACTCATTTAGGCTTGGTTCACATATATGCATTTTGCATTTGATGCTTTCTCCAGTGGCTTTTGCAGTTTGTTTTGCATTTTTCTACACGTGTTTTTGCTGTGTTTTGCATTTTGTTCAGCTTTTTTTTTTTTTTTGTTAAAGTGGAAATTTTTTTTGTTGCCAGGCAGAATAAAAATGCAAAACGCGGCAAAAACGCATTACCGTGCATTTCAGCAGCTTCTCCATTGACCTCTATTGTAGCAAAAATGCTGCTTTTTGCTTTTAAAAAAGTCCCCGACCCTTTCCAAGAATGCAGCAGCTCAAAAAAGCATAGATGTGAACATGTTTCATAGGAAACCATGTTAAATGGACTGTAGTGCGTTTCTGCAAAAAGCACTAAAAACTCATTGGTGTGAATGGAGCCTCATTCACCTATTTATTTTTTTAAGACTATAAGGTGCTTTTTTTATATATTTGCATTCTTTTGATTTTTAACTGTTTTAGTCTTATCTAAAAGATGAGCTATGTTGTCAGAACCACTCTCCTACATATTGCAAATACAGTGGTACCTTGACCTACAAGTTTAATTCGTTCCGTGGCCTAGCTCGTAGCTCAATTTGCTCGCACATCAAATCAGTTTTCCCCATTGAAAAATAATTAAAAATTCTCTTAATCCGTTCCAACCCTCAAAATGCATTTCTAAATAACAAACATGGTGCCAGAAAGTTTGGTATAAACTGCTATAAATAGAACTCTTCACCTGTTCCAGAAAAGCAGAAAACACTCACCCTCTGAAGTTTAGTATAAGTTGGTATAAACTGGTATAAAATGGAACTCCTGTTCCAGAAAGCAGAAAACACTCACCCTCTGGTTTGAGGTAAACACATGAAGAGACCATGAACACGTGAAGAGACCATGAGAAAACCGAGAGCACATGTTGGAGGTGTGTCTCGGAGGCTGGGATGCTGTGGCGTCACTGCTCACTACGCCATCTAGCAGCGCCATCTCCAGCTCGTACCTCAATTTTTTGCTTGCGTAACAAAGCAATGACTACTCGTACCTTGGAAAACTCGTACCTAAATGCACTCGTAGGTCAAGGTACCACTGTATTAATAACATTGTAGTATACTTTAAGATACAGCCAGTGGTGTCTGTTTATTCTATAACCATAGGCCTACCAATATATCTGCAGCAAATAATTTTTGTATCATTCCTTTTGTTGTAACATTGGTGCAGACTGACCCAAAGGTATTTTTAAATTTATTCAGCCATACAAAATGCTTTCAGTTTTTGTTCCTCGCATTTCTAAAGGAAGAATGGTTACCATGGAAATATTTAGTGGGAGTCTGAAACAACATACAATCTATACATCCATTTATTATTCAGAATTTATAGTTCCCTATAAAATGTCAATATAGCATGCCTATTACTTTGTCTAGCTTAGAAAATTATTTTCCATTTGCATTTTACAATAGCATTAGAAAATAAAGCATTATTGCCAACACTAGCATTTTTCAGCTAGGAAGAAAATATATCACATCAGTAAAAGCTCTGTGTTGTATGGCTTTTTCATTTACACATAGTCCTGGAGGTTGTAGCTTGCGTTGTTGTTTTCTGAGTGCTCAGCCTCTGGCTCAAGTCTTTTTTTTGGACGTGATTGCGTTCTTTCCTGCTGTCTTTTAGAGCAGGATGCACAGAATATTGCACCTGCTAGAATGTGCAACCCAGCAGAGATAAAGCCTAGGTATACTGCTCCTCCAGGTTCATGTTTTCCACTGTCTGGAATGGATGGATCCAAGAAGCTGGAGATGATCTCTTTCATGTACCAGCTCACTGAGATCATACCAAAGATTCCAGCAAGCAAAAAGCATGTTCCACCTGCAAATGCTATATTACTTTTGGTTTGTGGGTCACCTCCTAGCTTGGTACATTTCATTCCGGCTATGGAGATGCAGATTCCAAAAGCGGAGAATATACAGGATAAAACCATAGTAGTCCTCACAGTCTGGATGTAAATAGGGAGGGAAAGGATGGAATATTTCACAGTGCAGCTAAACATTCCAGTACTGTACCACGTGCAGTCCATCCAAAGACCCTGCATTTCAGTGACTGCGGTAATGATGTTAGCCCCAGTTTCTGAATTGACCTTCCAGTTTGGTAGCAAAGTGGCGACAATGGCGGCACATACACCCATGAGTGCAACCACAAAAGCCGAGATTTGTAGCTCCACCGAGGCCATGGACGGTTAATTGCAGATCCTCTTTCCAACTGACTCTTTTCTATCGAAAGTCTGAATGAGAAAGCTCAGTTCTGTATTGAAATAAAAAAAAATGACTATGTAGGGGGTGGAGGGTGGTAACCAGAAAAATGAAACAGGCAATAAAATAAGTAATACCTCCGTGGTTCAAAGCTTAGCTCTTTCACCTGCAGTTCGAGCCTTTCAGAAGAGTAAAAGCCTCTGCTAACAAATACACCTGCCACTTGAACATTTATTCTTTGATAAATATAGATTGCTAGAAACTGCGTCCACAGTGCTCTTCATAAAATACATAAGCATTTATTGCTTTTTCTATACCACTAAGCAAAAGTGCCCTACTTTGTCACAACACCGATTACATGATTAATAGTGCTCCGCATTGAAGCAGGAGGGACATATCTTTTACACACAAAACATCAAACTAAGCACAAATGCTACACTCTGTATAAAGTCTATTCAGATCCATGGACAATACTGCTGTTTTCAATAACAGATATAATATCTACATCTGCAGGTGTAAGCCTATTAAATATATAGCCTACATGTATTATGTAAATACATTAATTTTATTAAAAGTGTAAATGACAGTGTTGCATACATATTACATTGCAATGTGCAAATACATCAAATTTTTATTATAAAACTAATATAAGAACTAAACCAATCAAAACATTGCAGCATGGAACTGTATGTATTCCAAATGAGAATTTAATGTTGCTACAAATATTATTATTAGCAAAATGTAAGTGTAAGGGGGTTGAGGAGTAAATGAGTAACACTGTAACAATTTAAAATAGGTAAAATAAAAATAGTAATGTAAAGGAATCAATATGTTTTCTATGTTTATATTCCATATTTATCACTTTTTTTGCAGAGTTTGAATGACCAGCATATTAAAGCAGAATTAATTCCAAAGACCAAATTGTAATATATTATAGATTACCAATCATTAGATGTGGTGGTTGCTTCAGTTTTCTTTTTTCTTTTTGAAGGCTTTTCCCCTCTATTTTCATCTGGTGATCTTGCCAGCAACACACCCCTCCTACACTCTGGATCAAGGAGCAACAGAGACACCTTTGGACAGCAGCATTTTTAGTCTAGGGGGAGAGTAGTCTTAAATGTTCTAGCAGATTTAAATACACTAACATATTGAAGCCAAACTCCAGCTTAGGCTCCGTTTACACCTATGGAGTTTGATTTTTGTCCGTTTTGCAGTTCGTTTTGCATTTTTCTACACGCGTTTTTGATGCATTTTTGGCATGTTTTTACCACGTTTTGTACAGCTTTTTTCTTTCAAAACGTGGCAAAACGCGGTAAAAATGCACTACCATGCATTTCAGCATCTTCTCCATTGAACTTTGTTGTAGCAAAAACGCTGCTTTTTGCTTTTAAAAAAGGCAATGACCCTTTCCAAAAACTCAGAAGCTCAAAAAAGCATAGATGTGAACATGTTCCATTGGAAACCATGTTAAATGAATTGTAGTGCGTTTCTGCAGAAAGCACAAAAAAATGCATTCGTGTGAACAGAGCCTAACACTACAGCAAACAGTTATTTTTCCTTTTGGTTTAAAGGTTTCACATAAATAAAAGCTGATCATTGTTAGCAGACCGTCAGTAATAAATAGCTTGTCTCAATCCCCTAACTGCTATATCTTCAGGACAGCTTGTTCTATTGAAAAACAGAAGACTTACTGGTCAGATCACCAGGTGAAAATAAAGAAAAGAAAGCCTGAAAAAAAAAAATTCAGCCATCCCATCTAAGAATTGGCAATTTATATATAAATGTTTGGGTTTAATACCACTTAGAATATCTGTAAAAATTATAACATTTGCTGGCTTTTGTGTGTTTTTGGCATTTAAATAAGTACAGCAACTGTATTGTTAAATATTACAGTTATTTAGAATAATTCTAAAATCGGATGCTTAAAGGCACTTTCCAATGCTGCACTTCAGTATATAGAGTAATGTGCCCTTTTCCCCTACCTCTAGCACCATTCAAGCCAACAATACTGAATTGACTGAATTAATTTTCTAAATAGTTAATCCAATATAGAAATTGAAATAAAATATGCATTGCTATAGAAGAGAAATGGCTACTTATTACTTGAAGCCTCAGTGTAAAAATAGTGCAGTAATGATGTATTTTAGTAATTAGTGGGTGTACTTTAACAATTGTATTAAGGTAATGACTCACTGATCCATGACTTCAACGCTGACTGAACAAAGCACTGCTCAAAGCATAGTGCTGGTAAAGGATTTTTTACACCTGGAATGAAAAAATACTTACTGGAAAATAAGCACCACGTCACGTCCTGCAACGTTTTAGCGGTGGAGGCAAATATATTGTAGTCAGAAAAATATAGTTCTTCTTGCCAAAAGGACAAACAGAAATATATATATTCAAATACAGGTTGTTGTGCCTGTCATTCTCATTTACTTTCCCTGTGGCTTGTTTGAAGAAACAGTCTGTCCATGTTGCTGAGAGGCTGGAGAAATAATGAGCCAGCAAAACTTAGAAAAACATGACGGGGACGGGAAATTGTACTTGGATGCTGAGACAATACCAACCTTTTAAGTGGACAAACAACTGACTTTTGTAGTTTCAGTTCAATTCTTTTTATTGTTTCACAGCATAAATGGCAGCTATCCGGGGTTTGCAAATTAATTTCAAAATATTCCGTATTACATTACCACTACGGTGCCCAGCTTCAAGTGGAACTTTTGGTTAAAAAAAAAAAAAAAAAAATCATTAAGTGAAACTAGCGTTTCCCACACCGCAAGTGGTGTGAACGGATGGTAAATGTTAGGGAAGTTGTGATTTCAGGGCCTCTGTTAAATTTAAAAATAAGTTTTTCTGCAATGCCAATGTTACAGACATGAATAAGGACTTCAAACTGCTTTAGGCTCCATGTACACAGGACACTTCTGAACGATGGAAACTGACTGCTGGAAAATGTAGGTTAAAAGGCGTCTATTTAGACGCATTTGCATACCGCATTTATGAGCGTTTGCGTTTAGAAGTGTTTTTTAAAGATAACCTCAGGCAACCTTTCAAAATGCACAGAATGCACTGAAAAACAGTAAAAAATTAACTTTCAGACATTTTGAGAGAAATAGAGAGAGCAGAAGCAGAGAGAGCAGTATTTGTTGAGATTAACTGTCTTTTTTTTTTTTTTTTGGTGTTTGGATGTGTTCCAGCTCATTTCTGTGCAGAAATTATTGCAGCAGTGTCTAACATTTTTTTTTTTCATGCAAAACCTCAAAGTATGGTATGCTAGGTCCATTTGAGTACCGGGAAAAAGCTTTGCATGCATTTTTCATGATGAAAAAAGGCTCTGGACAGCATCTGGAAATGGAAGCGTTAAAAAAAAATTTCAAACGCCTATAAACGCGGTTAGCCGCATTTACAAGCGTTTTGGGTTTGAAACTCTGATAAAATCTACTGCCGAACGCAAGTTTTCTGCGTTCAAAAAAACAACTGTAAACTCAACTTCCTGTAAACGACTGTAAACGACTATGTGTACCTGGACACATAGTAAAACATTAGCGTGAGTTCAGGGGCTGCTGAAAAAAAAACGCTGAACAGCTCCTAAATGTGAGTTTATCAGCTGCAGTGTACGAGCCCTTAGTGTGCATAGTCCAGGCATAGGCTCACTTTAAGGGCCTATGCTTCTTGTAAGGGAGGTGGGTAGTGTTCAGGTGGGAGAAATATAAGCATGAATAGAATGCAGTAGTAATACCACTGGATGCTAAGGCAGACTTAATAGTAAAATGACAGTTCTGAAACGTACAAGGCTGTTTTTGTGATTTTTTTTTTTTTTTTTTTTCAATTTTGTTATGTTGCAGCCAGATAATGCAGTTTAAAATTAATTTTTTTTCTCACTAATCTACATTCAATACCCTATAATGACAAAGTGAAAACAGAAGTTTAGAAATGTTTGCAAATTTGTGAATAAAGACAAACTGAAATATCACATTGGCGTAAGTATTCAGACCCTTCGCAAAAACTCTTGAAATTTAGCTCAGGGTGCCTCCCATTTCACTTGATTGTTGCTGAGATGTTTCTGCACCTTGATTGGAGTCCACTTGTGGTAAATTAAATTGATTGGACATGATTTGGAAAGGCACACATCTCTATATAAAAGGTCTCACAGCTGTCAATGCATTCTGTATTAGAGCAAATGCATAGATCGGGGAAGGCTACAGAAAAACTTCTGCTGCACTGAAGATCCCCAAGTGTAGAGTGACCTTCATAATTCTCAAATGGAAAAAAGTTTTGCACAACCAGGACTCTTCCAAGAGCAGATTGCCCAGCAGAACAATCTGGGGAGAAGGGCCTTAGTAAGAGAGGTGACCAAGAACCTGATGGTCAGTCTGACTGACCTCCAGAGATCCTGTGAGGAGATGGGACAAAGAAGGACAACCATCACTGCAGCCTTCCACCAATCTGGGCTTCATGGCAGAGTGGAAAGATGGAAGCTTCTCTTCAGTGCAAGTGTACAATCCAAACGCACACATTCCTACGTTAAAAATGGCTGTGTGTATAAGTGGGTGCTGCAGCGACCGTCGGCTGGAACCGAACAGAATCAGCAAGGGAAAATGTCACCAGCACACCGAGGATCACCAATATGGGTGCAAAAGTTTTAATGAATGATCACATAGTTACAGCAAGGCAATGAGTCAGAGTCTCGCAGGACCCCTTCATCGGGCATATGACCAAAAGTTATCTACAAAACTATATACACTTCAATCATGAGGAATCCTCCTAACCAAAGTTCATCTGCGATCCAAAAAGCACAAATATGATGTGTTAATATTAAGTCCCCTCGGTTGTGTTTTGTCGAGGTTATGGATCCAATAAGCTTCACGATGGAGGACGAAGTTGTCATGATCTCCTCCTCGCCGATCAACTGACGTGTTCGATGGTCATGCCCCTCAACCTGGTGTCCTGCCAAAATAAAATGGACTGCTACGGGTTTGCTCAAATCAATGGGTTCACCTTTGATACGTTTGACTAGAGCTGTCCTAATGTCACTCCTGTGTTTCTGAAATCTCCGCCTAAAGGGACCTTTTGCCTGATGAAAGGGTCCTGCGAGACTCTGAAACATTGCCTTGCTGTAACTATGTGATCGTTCATTAAAACCTTTGGACCCATATTGGTGATCCTCAGTGTGCTGGTGACATTTTCCCTTGTCTCTTCAGTGCAAAACACATGATAGCCCACATGAAGCTTTTTTTTTTTTTTTCACCATGTGGGTTTGGTGCACATTTAGAATATATTCATTTGTACACTCCTGATCTTTTTATTATATTTTTTGGGGGTCGCACACATTTTTTTGGGTAGGATGGTGACCTGATACTCCATTATTTCCTTTGTTAATGGAGGTATTATTTTGAGAGGTTTCAGTTAATTATATTTTAGCTATACATTTTTATGGGGGTGATTTCTGAAGGTGAGAAATTTGACATATACTGATCACCCCAGCAGCCACATAACCCCAGGCTTGATTGTTTGTATTTCCTCTGTAGTATTACAACATGTTAATATGGCTAGTCAATTAGTGGTGTAGATAAGCTATTTGTTGCCACGGTGGCTCCTAAGCCCCAGCAGGACAAAGAACTTCTGAGGGCTTGCAATATTGTTTATTAGCCAAGAGATATTTTCAAGTGTTGCCCTATATTCATTTTGTGGGGGAAGTTTTTATCCACCCAAGTACAGGGTTAACATTTTTTTGGATTGTAATGTTGTTTTCTAAAAAACATTCTGAAACTCTCCTTTTCTAATACCAGATTTTTAGATGGGAGATATTGAGACTTACACTTTTGAACCTCACAATTTAATTTTGGAAGTGTATGGAGAACTTGTGGTCTACATCCTAATAGTGTCAAACTCTACAGGCAATAATCCTACCATCTATCAAAATCCTAATAAACATTAGGTCATTTGCCCTCCTTTTGGTGTGTGGGTATGCGCACCCCCGTTCTTGTTCAAGCATTAGAAATTTTTTTTTGTAACTTTCCCCAGATCTGTGCCTTGTAATAATCTGTCTCAGAGCTCTGCAGGCAGTTCTTTTGACTTTGTCATCATGGGGTACTGAGTGTAGGTTAAAGTGGTTGTAAAGGCTCAAGGTGTTTTACCTGCATGCATTCTATGCATGAAGGTAAAAAAACCTGTGTGCAGCAGTGCCTCCAGCCCCCTCAATACCTACCTAAGCCCCATCGCGATCCAGCTATGTGAATGACCGCTTCGACTGCCTTGGGTCTCTGCCTTCTCATTGGCTAAGACAGCAAGCGGAAGCCATTGGCTACCACCGCTGTCAATCACAGGCAATCAGCCAATACGAAGAGAGAGGGAGTGGGAGCAAGCTGTGTGTGTGAACGGACACATGGAGCAGTGGGTGCCCCCATAGCGAGCTGCTTGCTGTGGGGCCACCCGACAGGAGGGAGGAGCCAGGAGAGCCTGCGGGGAACCCAAGAAGAGGATCCATGCTGCTTTGTGCAAAACCATTGCACACAGTAGGTAAGTACAGCATGTTTTTTATTTTCCAAAAGAAAAAATGAATCTGTAGAATCGCTTTAAAGAGGAAACAAGATTGAAACACTTTATGAATGCACTGTATATACGCTCATGCGTGTATAAAATCTATATATATACCGTATTTTTTGCTCCATAAGACGCACCTGACCATAAGACGCACCTAGGTTTTTGAGGCGAAAAAACAAGAAAAAAAAATATTCTGAACCAATGGACTGCAGACACAGTACAGGGGATGACCAGAGACTGCTGCGGACACAATACAGGAGATGACCAGAGACTGCGGACACAATACAGGAGATGACCAGAGACTGCGGACACAGTACAGGAGATGACCAGAGACTGCGGACAGTACAGGAGGACACAGTACAGGAGATGACCAGAGACTGCGAACACAGTGCATGAGATGACCAGAGACTGCGGACACAGTGCATGAGATGACAGAGCTGCGGACACAGTGCAGGAGATGACCAGAGACTGCGGACACAGTGCAGGAGATGACCAGAGACTGCGGACACAGTGCAGGAGAGACCAGAGACTGCGGACACAGTGCAGGAGATGACCAGAGACTGCGGACACAGTGCAGAGTGACCAGAGACTGCGGACACAGTACAGGAGATGACCAGAGACTGCGGACACAGTGCAGGAGTACAGCACAGTGAGATGACCAGAGACTGCGGACACAGTGCAGGAGATGACCAGAGAGACAGTGCAGGGAATGACTGAGATTGCAGAAGTGAGGGAATGACCAGAGACTGCAGACAAAGTACAGGAGATGACCAGAGACTGTGCAGGGGGCACAGACTGCAGGGCAGGGGATGACCAGAGACTGCGGGCACAGTGCAGGGAATGACCAGAGACTGCTGACAGTGCAGGGAATGACCAGAGACTGCAGACAGTGCAGGGAATGACCAGAGACTGCAGACAGTGCAGGGAATGACCAGAGACTGCAGACAGTGCAGGGAATGACCAGAGACTGCAGACAGTGCAGGGAATGACCAGAGACTGCAGACAGTGCAGGGAATGCAGGGGATGACCAGAGACTGCTGACCTTTGGGGAGGGAGGGGGAGCAGGTACCTGAATTTGACAGGTACCCGCTCCCACTTCTGCGGAGTTGTCCTTCGCTCTTCTTCCCGGGCCGGGTTCTGTGACAGCCGGGTGCCCACTGCGCATGCGCGAGAAGCGCTGCGCTTTGTGAATGGCCCAGTGCCTTCTGGGACCTGTCATGTGTCCCAGAAGACACCGGACCATTCACAAAGCGCAGCACATGCGCAGGCAGTGGGCACCCGGCTGTCACAGAAGCCAGCGCGGGAAGACTGTGCAGCGCTGGAGCGAGGAACAGGTAAGGCCCTGCAGGAGAGAAGAGCTGAGCGGCCGGCCCGGTATTCTGACATGGTGGCGGCAGAAATACCGGACCGGCCGCTTTATATTCGCTCCAAAAGACGCACTGACATTTCCCCCCCTTTTTTTGGGGGAAAAAAGTGCGTCTTATGGAGCGAAAAATACGGTATATATAATATATTCGCTACAGCCTAAACAAAACATAATAACCTCAAACAATTACAGTTCTCTTCTAAATAGAGTCATTCTGCAAGACTGATGAAGCCAGAAATAATGGGTGTCAACATTCTGCAAACCCCACGCTGTATAATTGTAGGTCCCGTGATGTAATTGAAATTGCAAGACACCAAATATTATCAGGTTGTTTTAAACCTGTTGATTTGTGATCTCTTTTAGTTTGCATTATTTGATGCTAAATACAAGCAGGCAAAACAGTCAAGAAATTTAAACGCACATCTACAAAGTATGTAAAATGCAAGGCATAACTGGCAAAAAGGCAACTGAAAGATTTGCTGTGCATCTCTCTTGTTGGAATTCCTTTCCTCCTCTGCCAAGCCCACCCACAGAATTCAGTAGAGCAAAAGAATTAAGTGGCAGTAGCTGCTCTACAGTTTCTTAATCTGATATAGTTTTTATTTTCCTTCTACATCCTTTTATTACTTTATGTAATATACCACCTCTATCTTGATCTAACATGTAATAGACCACCTCAACCATGTTCATGAACAGTTTTTACATCTACGAAAACTGTAGGAAGAAATTAAGAAAACCTGTAATACTGAGAGTGCATTGGTGTGACACAGATCTTTGTGCATATGTGGCAATAAGATGCAGTTTACAAAAACAAGTTTCTTTGCATATTCAGTCCTCAAAAAGCTTGGACTAGATTTAATTAAGGTTTAATTTCTTTTTTTCAAGATAAAATTTATGCAAGTAACCAGACCTGATGGAAGCTTTACTAAACCTTGTAGCTGCTTGTATGTGCTCTGAAATAAATTGCATATTGTGCTCATTTTCTGGAAAACGTCCGCATTCAGAAAGGCCAATGAAAAAATGGTATCAAAAAGATTTGAGACTAGTTTTGTAACACGTCAACAGATGGCAGCTGCATTCGCAGGGAGCACCGACCTTGATACGTCAGTGTGCCAAACGACTTCGACCTCAGGAGCTATGCAACTGGCGCTATTCTGATGTTCTGATGTGCGTTACCACATCTATATATATATATATATACACATACATAGCTCAAAAAAATTAAAGGAACACTTTGAAAACACATCAGATCTCAATGGGGAAAAATATCATGCTAGATATCTGTACTGATATGGACTAGGTAATGTGTTAGGAATATAAAGATGCCCCATCATTTGATGGAAATGCAAATTATCAACCTACAAAGGACTGAATTCAAAGACACTCTGAAAATCAAAGTGAAAAAAACGATGCAGCAGGCTAGTCCATTTTGCTGAAATTTCATTGCAGCAACTCAAAATGGTGTTCTGTAGTTTGTATGGCCCCCGCATGCTTGTATGCATACCTGACAACGTCAGGGCATGCTCCTAATGAGACGATGGATGGTGTCCTGGGGTATTTTCTCCCACATCTGGACCAGGGCATCACTGAGCTCCTGGATAGTCTGAGGTGCAAACTTCTGGAGTCAGATAGAACAAAACATGATATCCCAGAGGGGTTCTATTGGATTTAGGTAAGATGAGCTTGGGGGCCATTCAGTGATATCAATTCCTTCATCCTCCGGGAACTGCCTGCATAACCTCACCACATGAGGCTGGGCATTGTCGTGCACCAGGAGGAACCCAGGACCCACTGCACCAGCTTAGGGTCTGACAATGGGTCCAAGGATTTCATCCTGATAATTAATGGCAGTCAGGGTGCCATTGTCTAGCCTGTAGAGGTCTGTGCGTCCCTCCATGGATATGCCTCCCCAGTCCATCACTGACCCACCACCAAATTGGTCATGCTGAACAAAGTTACAGGTAGCATAACGTTCTCCACAGCTTCTCCAGACCCTTTCACGTCTGTCACATGTACTCAGTGTGAACTTGCTCTCATGTGTGCAAAGCACAGGGTGCCATTGGCGGACCTGCCAATTCTGTTGTTCATTGGCAAATGCAAATCGAGCGCTATGGTGCCGGGCAGTGATCACAGGGCCCACTAGAGGACGTTGGCCCTGAGGCCACCCTCATGATGTTTGTTTCTGACTGGTCAGAGACATTCACACCAGTGGCCTGCTGGAAGTCATTTTGTAGGACTCTGGCAGTGCTCATCCTGTTCCTCCTTGCACAAAGGAGCAGAGACTGGTCCTGCTGATGGATTAAGGACCTTCTACGGATCTCTCCAGCTCTCCTAGAGTAACTGATTGTCTCCTGGAATCTCTTCCATGCTCTTGAGACTGTGCACAGTATACACAGTAAACCTTCCTGGCAATGTCACGTATTGAGGTGCCATGTTGAAGGAGTTGGACTACCTGTGCAACCTCTGTAGGGTTCAGGTATTGCCTCATGCTACAAAAAGTGACACTGACCCTAGCCAAATGCAAAACTAGTGAAAAAAAGTCAGAAAAGATGAGTAAGGAAAAAAAATGTCAGTGGCTTCCACCTGTAAAACCATTCTTTTTCGTTATAAACTTATTTGGGTTATTTTTTTTTCTTGCTAAAAGATAGCTAAATACATTTTGGCAAAGATTTATGAAGAAAGATTATTTATTTGCAAAATTTTGTAAGAAAAAAAAACTTTTTTTTCCAAATGTTTGGACTTTTTCATTTATATAGCAAAAAAATTAAAATCCCAGTAGTGAATAAATACCACCAAAATAAAGTTATATCCGTCTCAAAAAAAAAATGCAGAAAAATTCATATGGGTACAGTGTTGCATGACTGCACAATTGTCATTAAAAGTGTTGAAGTGGTTAATTGACTTGATGCTATACTCTGATTAAAAAGTGTTCCTTAAACTTTTTTGAGACACGCACACACTCACTCTCTCTCTCTCTCTCTCGTTCGCGCTCTCGCCTGTTTGGCTCACTGATGTAATTAGCATAGCTGTAGTAGGTTAAGGGCTCTATAAAACTCCCAGGCTGCTTAGGGAGAATGCTCCAACCTGGAACCAGTTTGCTGTGCAGGACAGACTGGGGAGCAACCAAACTATACTGCGGTGAGGGTAAATCTGTGTGATTTTTGGACTGTGTGAACACTCTGTTTCTGAGCAGTGATAGGCTGTATCCAGACAGGTAGATAGGAACCTGTGTTTGTAGCTAGATGCCCAGTGTGACAAGGCTTTATTTTCTGTTTTTATTTGTTTTGCTGTTTTTGAATATATGCACCTTGTGTTCACCAGCCTTGTAAATAAAGCACAATTTTATTCACCAAGATCCTGCTGTCGTGCTGAGCCTCTTTCACCGTTCTCTGACTCATCCAGGGAGTCCAGCACAACCCGCTACTGGGGTAATCCCTCACAAAACACACACACATATATATGTATACAGTGAAGAACAGAAGTATTTGAACACCCTGCAATTTTGCAAGTTCTCCCACTTCGAAATCATGGAGAGGTCTGAAATTCACATTGTAGGTGCATTCCCACTCTGAGAGACAGAATTTTTTTTCAAAATTCAGGAAATCACATTGTATGATTTTTAAAGAATGTATTTGTCTTGCACTGCTGAACATAAGTATTTGAACACCTGAGAAAATCAATGTTAATATTTGGTACAGAAGCGTTTGTTTGCAATTACAGAGGTCAAACGTTTCCTGTAGTTCTTGACCAGGTTTGCACACACTGCAACAGGGATTTTGGCCCACTCCTCCACACAGATCTCCTCTGGATCTGTCAGGTTTCGGGGCTGTCGCTGAGCAACATGGACTTTCAGCTCCCTCCAAAGATTTTCTATTGAATTTAGGTCTTGAGACTGGCTAGGCCAGTCCAGAACCTTGATATGCTTCTTACGGAGCCACTCCTTAGATATCCTGGCTGTGTGCTTCGGGTCGTTGTCATGTTGGAAGACCCAGCCACGACCTATCTTCAATGCTCTGACTGAGGAAAGGAGGTTGTTGCTCAAAATCTCACAAGAAATGGCCCCATTCATCCTCTCCTTAATACAGTGCAGTCGTCCTGTCCCCTTCACAGAAGAGCACCCCCAAAGCATGATGTTACCACCCCCATGCTTCACAGTAGGGATGGTGTTCTTGGGATGCAACTCATCCTTCTTTTTCCTCCAAACACGACGAGTGAAGTTTAGACCAAAAAGTTCTACTTTGGTCTCATCTGACCACATGACTTTCTCCCATGCCTCCTCTGGATCATCCAGATGGTCATTGGCAAACTTCAGACGGGCCTGGACATGTGATGACTTGAACAGGGGAACCTTCCGTGCAATGCATGATTTGAAACCATGACGGTGTAGTGTTCTACAGACAGTGACCTTTGAAACTGTGGTCCCAGCTCTCTTCATGTATTTGACCAGCTCCTCTCTTGTAGTTCTGGGTTGATTCCTCACCTTTCTTAT